CCAGTCACAGTTGGGGGAATTAGGGACTGGATTGTGCAATACTTGACACCAGAATGCCTATAATTTGAGGGCTCCGAGTATCTCAACTTTTAGATGATCTAGCATTGATGGGTTATATCAGTCCTTTCCTTTATCTTACTTTAAACTCCTAAACAATGGTGAAATTATTATCGCATAATAGGGTTGGTTGTGTAAGATGCCGAGAAGACAAACAAAAACAACAAGTAGACATATTTCTCATGCGTATACATTTATCAGTAGCAACAAGGTTTAGAGATTTTTCGAGTATGGGCTATGCGGGCAGTTCTGTTATGCACTGTTTTTATTGTAGTTTGACTCCTGCTGACCTGCGGGCTGGTTTGTTCACAACAATAATTATGATCTTATGGCATTTCCGCCTTACCAGAGAAAGATAGTAGTCGAAGTGGCGATTCAAAATGATGTACCTGAAACGATCCTAAACCTGCTTTTCATAACTGCGAAATATTTCTCCAAAAGAAGTCTAGCTCAGTCCCATACCATTAGTCGCGATTTAACTGCCTAATTTAAGATTTAGCTTACTTTGTATCGAATCTGTTTGCAAGATATGTTGGGAAACAAAATTTGGAGTTGAGTTTCATTCATAATTAATATTCCGCGCTGATATCTCGCTTTAGTTGTAAGCATGCATAATCCGTGCAGTCTGTTTATTGCGTCTTGCAACTAGACGACCTCAATAGCTTTGAGCTGTCGAGTGCTACATTCATAAGCACTGAGCATTTTGAGATTCTTATTCTAAAGGTACTTTGTATCAATCATTCTTTTCTGGTTCATATTGCATAAACTAGCTTTAAAATATGGAAAACCTATACACTCCGTCCTTTGAGAAGCGAACGTCTAGGGCCTGAAGCAAGACTTGGGGAGTAGAGATTCGGGTTTACCGCTCTTTTAAAGTAATTCTCAGAGATCTTTCTTTCTTGTTTATTATTAACATTGTAACCCTCATAATGGTCAGATAACCATAAGAACACACCCTTTTCGCTTTGATCGTACCAAATCAATTTGGGTTGGCGGTAAAAACCATCAGGCGTCATTGCTATATTCGCCTTTTCAGTCCATTCGGGCCATACCTGCTTATCTTTTTTTGAAATTTCTTCAATGTTCTTGGACTTGTAATAACGTACGAGTGTAACATTATGAACGACCTCAATTGACAGCCGTGGTGGGCGCAAGTGCGCTTGACTTCTGCAAAGCTTACCATGCTTTCTACCTAACATCATCAATTACCTTTAAATCAAGACCACTAGGCTGGTAATTCTCAATCGAACAATGTTTTTGAGAAATTTGAACTTAGCCATAAATGCCGATTTAATTCAAAATTGCATGAAATACTTTTCAGCTGCTGTATGTACGAAGCATCTTCCTACAAAACTAATCGAATTAATGGGCATTGACATTGTGTCGGGTAAAGCTATAGATTATTATATCGAAAAAATCAAATTTCTTACCGAAATGCAATGTTGCTTTAAACTCAATTTTTACTTTACAAGCTCGAAGAAAGTACTAGTAGAGTGGAAAAAGTGAATTGCTTACGTTTGTGTGCCAAGCTCCGCACCTAGCGCGCGCCAAACTACCAGCTGCCAATAGCTATCGTTCATCAAGTCTACCACTCAAACGGTCATCTCGGTAATCGTTGATTTGTTTTGTGAGGAACTGTGTTCACCATCCTAACACTTTCCTCTGTTATCAAATCTTTTCCAGCAAAAGGCTGGTTAGACAACTCAAAGAAAAAAAGGCAGCGCGGATGGGTGTGGATCTAGTGGTCATCGGAGGTTAGCTGTTGTATCGATCGCGTATAGTGTACATGATCGTATGATTTCGAC